AGGCCAATTTTCCTACAGATTAAGAAGAAAGAGAGAAAGTATATACATGTAATTTCCTTTTCAGATGCCAAAAAATATTTAGATACTACTGTTATACTGATGATTTTGGAAAAACTCTAGTAATTTCTGAGACAGGAAACTTTTTATACAACAAAATTAACATCATTTAGTTTAACAACTGTTAACATTGTACTAAGAGGCTCAGTTCAAGTAGCTGAAACGCTAACAGAATTTTATTCTTTTAAAGGCTGGAGATGACTGAAGATACTGAAAGCACCCTGGCAGCAATGGATGATTCTTGTCTCAGCTATGGCCTGAGGGAAAGTATTGCTTCCTACCTCTCCTTAACAGGCGATGACAACGTTTCTTTTGCAAGTGCCAGAAAGAAGAAAACCCAATCTCTTATATACACAGGGAGCAAACGTAAAAGTACCATTCACTTGCCACCTACATACTATGAAGACTAAATGTAAGACAACCAGGGGAAAAAAAACAACACAACTGAGGGGTTAGAAGAGAAACCCAGAGCATCCTGTGGCCCTGCAGTCCTTCAACAGCTGAGAGAAACAAGCACACCAGCTGATGATCAAACGCTGGCAATGCTTCTGCATTTCCTCTTCTGAATGTTACCCAGAGACCTTCTTACGGGTGCTGTCTCAGCCACAGCAGATGCTGGGAACGTCCCCAGTGCACCTGAAATTAGAACTGGCTCACAAGCAGGATAAACTGAGATGGACTCTAAGTCAAGAGCCAAGCGAGTCAGATGACTCTTCAGCAAGGATGATGCCCACCATTGTACAAAGGTGATTGCATAGGGAAGGACTAACTACAGCTCAAGAACTTAAATTAAGTCTTACTCTGGTATTCTCCACAAGGCTGAAACCCATCTTTACAGAGATGGTTTACCATATACCTACATTGAGAAAAGGAGCCTTTTTCCTCTTTATATAGAATCATGCATTGTTATTGACAATGGGTCAGAAAGTCGTCAATAACCCCAAGAAAGTATCTAACATCCGGCATCCAAGAAACACTTGATTATATTGACTCCATACTTCTGTTATTTTTACTTTTTAGGGGAAAAAATTAAAATCATTGACTTTTCAAATGGCATTTAATTCAACTGCTGGTAATGGCCTGCAGTATCACAAAGTGGTCACAAAATTAAGAACAGGCTTAACTCACTGAGAAAAGCAGTTCCTGCTTAGCCCTGAGCTGGGAGTACAGGCATATCCAAAAATATAACTCTGCTGCTCATAGTCTAGCAGATACTCAACAGAAAACAAAGGAGGTTTTAAGTGAAAAGTAAAATGTGGTAATATCATGCCTAACTGCAAAGGTAGGCTTGCAAAATTGTGATCTTTTATGTATAGAGGACCAGATTCTAACCTCATTTCCTGAAGGTACCCCATATTTATGTATAAATTTATATTAATAGCAGTTTTTTTAATAATCGAACTAAGAGTGTAAATCAGCAACAGTGGATGTTAAAGAGTTTTCTGAATTTCTTGTCTGAGGAGAGTTAAGTCAAATAGTAATGACATATTTCATCAAACTGCTTAAAGATTTGTAACTGGGTTATCTGAAATGTCATGAATTAGAGAATTTTTCTCTATATATGTACTCTTTGCTAAGGGATAAAGGAGCACTAGCATGGTCCTTTGAACCTTACTTGTGATTGCTTTGTAAATCAAGTAGTCACTCATATCTGCTGGTGTAAACTGCTGCAATCTATATTCTTGAGCCAAGATCTTTTCCATCTAATATTCTGTCATAGCTTTTTGCACAGATTTGAGTAACGAAGGTTTGGAGACAGGGAATTGAGGGTATGTGTGTATATATATACATATACATATATATGTATATATATATTTCCTCTGTAAATACCTCTTAGCACAAATCTGTGTGTTCTTTAGATCTTGTAACAGATCAATTGCACTAGCAAGAGAGATTCAGAGATCAAAACAGTTCACAGTCTGTTTAAACATATTCCCAAACTTAAAGGATGAATGTAATTCGGCTGGTAAACATGGAACACCACAAAGCAAAACGAACTCAGGAACTCTAGGCATTTGTATAATCTCATTACTGTTACTAATCATTAATATGTTATGGTGACTTCATTTTATCCAATGAAATGTATATGGGGAGCATTACCAATTTCTAAGTCATGATTTATATTTATTCATTAAAATTATATCCAGTAGTTACTTTGTATCGTTTTTAGAAAATGGAAAACCTAGCACACAACTAGTACAAACACCCAGTCATTCACTGCCAGAAGGTATCTTTGATGGAATGTGACAAAAGAATCCAAGAGCCCATGTAACTGGCCAGCACTTGGAACACGCTCCATAGGAAGGGAATAAGACCTGTTCTGATGATGACAGGTTCACACAATCACAGACTAGTTCAGGTTGAAAGAGACCTCTGCAGATCACTTGGTCCAACCCTCCTGCTTGAGCAGGGCCACCTAGAACTGGTTGCCTAGAACCATGTCCAAGTGGCTTTTGAATATCTCCAGAGATGGGGACTCCACAACTTCCCTGCGCAACCTGTGCCACTATTTGGTCACCTTCACAGTAATGACATGAGAAGGTGACAAAAACTCATGAATTGTGGCATAAGGCATGGTTGGATTTCACAGATGGTTATGGGAAAATTCTGTGAGGTCTGGCCATTTCTCACAAATAACTGAAAGACTATAGTGAGGACCTTTTGAGAAGCATGATCTTGCAAGGGCTAACAGCATGGAGGTGATTCTATAAAAATCTGAGATTACTTAAGAAATATCAGAAATACCAAATTTGTGTAGGGATGTAGCAAACCGGGACCACTGGAGAAAAAGTAATCAGAGGTGGTTGGTTTGTTTGAGAGGGAACAAGGCTTGTAAAGGGGGGAGCAAAAAAAAGGAGATAGGAAAAGGGGGAAGAAAAGGGATCTAAAGGGTAGCTAATCATAGGATCAGGGATATTTAGGGTCCATGTCAGACAGCCCTGCACCTGGTTGCAGTAGTTTTCAGTTGGGCAATAAATCTGCTGTTGCCACCATTGGCTGACCTACTTCCATGGCCAGAAGGGATCTGGTGTCTTCCCTTGCTTTGGGTGGAGGAAGCCTGGGAGCTCTCCTCCTGACACCTACCAGGGAATGCCTGGAGGGAACACCTAACATATCTTCCCTCCACAGCCTCCTGCAAGAGATGCAGGCAATCCATACCATTGATCCACTCTTCTACATCAAAATTGCACCAGTAAATAAAACAATTAATCAAAAGATGAAGTCAAACACCAGGTTAATACTCTTAAATGATTTAAAACAAGACCACAATCACTGAGATATTACTTTTTTCTAATCATATTACTGAAAGATGAAATAAGTTATAAAAAGTCCCTATGACAGTTTTGCATTGATTTTGCACAATCTCTTTGCAGATCTGTTCCAAACAAAATGTATTATAAGGCAGACATAAGAAACTCAAAAGCATTTTGCTATTTCAGGTGCATGTTTTCTTGTAGAGAAAGTTTCATACATCATACGTCTCTGCATGTTAAGAAACAGTATCATTTTTTGTATGCATGACAAAGACCCAAACAAGAAGCGCAAAACTGATTTTTGCAGAAAAGCTGTATTGCTTCATGGGATTTTCCCTCAGGAAAGCTCTATCTGGTATATATTCTCAGTTTCATGATTCTTAGTCTGTATGCACATCCTTTTATTACAGTAAAATTAAAAGTACACAATGATTTTGGCGTCTTGGAACAAAACCAAGATGCATCCCTTTACAGGAGGTCTAGGTGAGAAATCTGAGTAAACAGACAGTTGCATTCTGCATCACTTAATTACAAAAAAACAAAAAAGGATAAAGTTTATTTTTAAGACACCGCTATTACTGCTTGCTTTTTATTTTACCAGTGTATTTCACAAGAAAACTAAATTCACCATAACACTGTAAGGATAAATACTTAACATTACTTTGAAATAAGTGGCGATCCTGCTTTTGTCAAGACAGTGGTCTGCACAGTTCCAAGAAGAAAACTGTTGTTACAAACACAAGATCAGTAAGAACTGATGCACCTGCCTGCTCATTGCACTTGCCACTGTTTTCCATTATTCGGTGTCTTGACGTACGAGAAAGAAGGAGTTCAAATTTTACTTTATAAAAGAAAAGATGTAATGTGGAACTACACTCCAGAAATAACAATAAGCAAAGAGGTCCTCGCATTTCCCTTTCATAAGTTGCACAACTGGTAAATTGCACTGTATCCTGTTACAGCTTTCAGAAGGCCCCATCCTGAGACATGTCAGTAAAGGGTTTGTGACTTCAGAGAAAGAGTAGGATGAAACTGTACTCTGAGGGAGAAGGACTCTGGGTCTACTAGCAGAACTAGCTATGCCAAGAGCTGAGTAAAAATCTAGGAACTGTGTGAGGAATTATGTGAGCGTGACACAAAAAATCAACTACTGAACAGCAATTTTCAACAACTTCCCTTGCCTTCTCCACCAGAGTGATGTAATTAAAATAGTGTTATTGAGACACTGGGTTGCAAAAGGCAAGTTATGTTTCCTGGAGCAAGGGCACAATGAAGAAAAATCAAGTAGTGAACAGAGATGTCGCTATTTTCAAGGCAAGATTTTATTTAATTGGGCCCAAGGTTTCCTGCACCAAGAATTCTGTTCCTCTTCTCATTGTTCCAAGTCAACACCGCTAGCATTTTGTCCAAGTATCATTTCTGCTGGCTATATAAACCTCCACTGAAGATTAAATCTCGTTTCAGAGCACACTACTCTTATCCAAGGCTGTACAGATCAATGGTAGTATCGACACTGACAAAACTGATCTCAAAGTCCTGAGATTTGACATAGGACGGGCTGTAAAAACATGGATCACTTGGGTGACTGTGAAAATGGTCCAAGCTGACAGCAAACAAGGCTGTGGGTAAACGGATTTTTACTCTCTCTCTGAAACTTGCTTTTTCTTTTAAATGAAACCTGTCATGAGATCAGATAAAAAGATTGGATACTTTAAACATGCGGATGTTTGGCTCATCTGTTTCAGAGTCAAAAAACTGCTGATCAACAACCATATTTATGGAATGGAAACTAACCTGTTGTACCTATAAGTTATGAAACAAGACTATTTATATAATACACAAAAAACCACAGTGACGAAAACCAGATTCTTACTATGACTAAATCAATCACCAAAGTGCATCTCTTGTACATCCTTGTGAAGCACCCGGCTCCTGGAGATAGCAGTCACAGGTGAGATCAAAAATAACTATAGCAATAACAGCCCTATTAGTGCTGCCAAGGTATGGATGAAATAAAACCAGCACCCACACACTGCAACATCCTCACGTCTGTAACAACATCGTTTCATAATGAAGTTGAAATGGCAGGAATGGGACTTACCATCAACAACACCCTCCTGAAGAGGTTCATATCCGCTGTCTCTGTGAGCAGGTGAATGCTGGTAACATCTGCCCCACCGCGGTCAGCTCCTAAAGAAACCTGGCTTGGATCTCCTCCAAAGCTAGCGATGTTCTGCTGCACCCACTTCAAAGCTGCTAATTGGTCCAAAAGGCCAGCGTTTCCACTCACCTCACGAGAATCTATTGTGGAAAATAAATAAACAGATCTGAAAATAAATAAAACCATAAACATCTGAAGTTTTGATTAAATGTTACATTTTTAGCAGCTCTTGCAGCTGAACCTTGACAAAACTGATACTAGAGTTAAAAAGTCTGAAGTGGTCTCTTCCAAGGTCATCACTTTACAGATTGACTCCATTTCAGTTTTTACCACTCCACCAGGCATCCCTGGAGGTGCCTAATTGTCTGTCCTGATGACAGAGAAATAACACTCCAACTTCTAAACTTTATTTGGACACCTTATGGCAGGAGAATTGAATTCAGGCTCAAGTATCCATAAATTCAGGCCATGAGATTCTTTCTCTACATAAGTAGCTCAATCTTAAAATGAACTAAAATTAAACAAAAAATCAGTGTGTTTACAAAATTCTCAAGTTGGAAGCGACCCATAAGGATCATCAACTGTTTCCCTGCAGTGCACCTACTTGCATCTGTTTGCTTCCTACATATCTTTTACACTTACCTTGTCTGACCAATCATTTGTAAGTCACATCATCTTCCATTTCTTTACTCACCTACAGATATTATAATTTATAATATCTCCATTTATACCCTTTGAGAGTGACCTATGTCTAACTGATATAGACCTGATTTATACATATTCATATTTTTGTTCCCATGAAAACAAAAGAAAAATAATTGATCATGTACTCCCCATGCTTAGGTATCACCACTGAAAAGACTACTTTCTTTTCAACACCAACCAGTGGTAACTTGATACATTGATTAACAGGAAATGAATGCTGAAAGCATCTAATGATGCAAATCCTTAGGCAAGTTTAGTTTTATTACAAAAGCAGAAATAAGTACACAGTTTGTAAGAAAGGAATAGAAAATTATCATTCACTGTCTACTTCTTTTTAATCCACAATGAGCCATTCATTTTTAATGATTTTAAATTCTCCACATTTAAAACTCAGGGAAAAAACAAGCAAACAAACAAAAAACAACAAAAAAACCCAAGAAAAGACAGAAAAGCAAGGGTTAGAAACACAGCTGAAACTATTTGTTTCTTCCATTGCCAAGATCAAATAGTGCAATTTTAAACTAAGGTTAGGCTCAGAAACTAGTGAATCAAATTGAACAGACAGTGGAATAAAAAGCTGCCACTTTGTGGACAGGTAACCCTGTCTCAGGCAAAGAGCAATTGAAAGCATACATCCTGTAGTAGATATCCATATGCCTACTGTAATGAATTAGTGAGATATCACAGAGACCGATTTAAGTAGCAGAACAGAATATAGAGAAGACCAGATTATTGATAGCCTTACAGATCTTACAGATACTCACACCACAACAGCCATAAGTGCTCTTTCAGTAGGACAGCCAAGAACTAAATGGCCCTAGAAACTACAACCTCCCACCTATATCCATAGTTTCAGATGATCAGGTCAAGCCACACCAGAGAAGCAATGGAGGAAAAATTTTCCCTGCTTTAGTTTTCAGGGTTCTTTTTAGTTTGTTCTGCATGCCATAACCAGTTCCCAGGGTTCTCAATCCAGCAATAAACCCACTCTATGGTGTTTAAAAAGAAACCTCATTTCAAGGGCTTGCTGCATGCCTCATGACACCTCCTTAGAGGAAGTGAAATTACAGAATCACAGAATCGTTCAAGTTGGAAAAGACCTTTAAGATCATCGAATCTAAACATTAACCTAGCACTGCCAAGTTCACCACTAAACCATGTCCCTAAGTGCCACATCTACCCCTCTTTCAAACACCTCCAGGGATGGTGACTCAACCACTTCCCTGGGCAGCCTGTTCCAATGCTTGACAACTCTTTCATTGAAGAAATTTTTGTGTGTAAGTCTATGTAAATGTTTTAGCCACACAATGTGCCTCACTACTGGTATACTAAACAACAAGACTGAGAAAGGAAATATATCCAATTCTTTTTACCCTGGCAAAAACCATAGCCAGGTTGTGAAATGTACCACACTGGGGAACAGATGCATGCATGGACATTCATGGTAGTTAGACCAAAAGAACCATGTCTGCCAGGAATCTTTCCCACTGACTTTTTGCAGGAAAAGATCACACTCCTGAGGAAATCAGGAGAATGAAAACAGTGTTCAGAAGGAACCAAACAAGGACATACATATGCATTTCTGTTATTACTAAACTAGAGAAGAACAAAAGTGCAAAATTTAAGGATGAAAATCATCCTATTTTATATGACTTTATGGACTTAAAAGAATCAGGCCTAAAAACATGACTGTCTTCTCCATACTCTTGCCATCCTTATCACTGGCAATTTACCTTAACTTTTCTCAGTGCAAAGCAAGAGGTGAAGGCACTAGAAAGAATGTGCATCACTTTTTGCAACTTTAATAGGTGACAGCACATTAAATTAAACTTCCTTTATACATAGGAGTATAAAAGCTCTTTGACTGCTTGCAAAAGTGCTGTCAATGACAGACCAAAACAACTGCAGAACTGACAAAAAAAAACCCAAACAAAAAAAGGAAATCTGTTGTTTTCACTACCTTTTGTTCCCCAAAATCTCCATTTAACTCCTTCATTTCTAGTTTTGCAATTTATAACAAGTCAATGTGACAAGATTCAGCACTTTGCTTAGTTGGACAATGAAACTGATATTGCTCACAAGATCGTAACTTTTGTTTGTAACTTCAGGGCCTTCTAACAGTCCTGCTGCTGATGTCCCCCCAGTCGTAAGGGTGAGCTCCTCCCCCTTTGGAACTGATGGTAAAACTTCCAAAGGAACAGGATTTGCCCAAGTCTTTCAGTGAGAATGCAAACATCCCTGGAATATCATTAAGGATTTGGTTTGAGTCTTGAGAAAAACCCTTCTAGTATTTGACCCAGCTTGATAACCTTCATTGAAAATCCCCAGTGGCTACTGGTTGTGTACAGAAGGAGTCAGAGGTATTCCACCAACCTGTGGTGGATCAAAGAATAGATCTTGCAGTGGGAGCATTGCTCCCCAGAATGGGTATGACTGAAAATCCATGTTGACAAGGAGCCTGGTACAAACATATCAGACCTCATCACCCCTGCATGGACTAGAGGGGACATAGAGGAGACAGGAGTGTGGCACTGAAGGAATTTTTAGGGCTTCCCATGAATGTGGTGCTTAGCTTGCTCCAATGACTCTTGTAAAGAGCTTTTCCTACCTGTGCCCTTTCCCTCTGGAGCAACAGGATTTTCCCAAATGCACAGCAAAG